GCGCCGCCCCAGCGCCAGTGCGTGGCGCTGGCGCCCGCCTCGGCTGGGGCCACCGATCCCCCGGCGCGGGCCCTCCATTCTAGGCCTCCTGGATGAGGTCCGAGTCGATTTAAGTCGGGCCTGTCCGTCTGCAGGAGGAACACTCAAGAATAGTCCAAGAATAGTCTGGGGACGATGTCTTTTTTTGAATTATTTCTGACTATTTTGGGATATGTTTGGAGTGTTTTCCATTGTTCGTCCAAAACCCCCATGTAGGAGGACAGGCCCGACTTAAGCGTAAATGGGGTCGGAGGATCGCGCCGCATCGCCGATGCATCTCCGATGCATCGCCGATGCGGCGCGATCCTCCGACCCCATCTACTATCCATTATATAAGCCTCGTCAAAGATAAACTGACGCGCCGTTCAAGATCGCGGCGCTCGATCGTTCGGGCATTGGCCAGAGAGCGCGTTCTGCAGTGCTGTGAGGGGTGTTGCCAGACTTTGGACGCCCCTGCGTCTGGGCCAGATATCTCAAAGTAGCGCCGACCACACTAGCACCGAAGACAATACTTGTGAGCTTATGTTTGACGATTCTCGTAGGCCTCCCAGATGTGGTCCGAGCAAACGGGGTCGGAGACTCGCGCTGCATCGCCGATGGGTCGGCGATCAGGCTCGATGTGGGGCCCGGTTTTCTCCACGCCGATGCACTGCCAATGTCGCCGACGCATCGGCGATGCGGCGCGACCCTCCGACCCCGTCTACTCGGACCTCGTCTGGGAGGCCTCTATCGATCCATGTCCAGACGTCCCCAGCTGTTCGGCGATCTGTTTCGTTTTTCCAACCGTGTTTTGTCCATATCCTAAGATGGGGCTCTTGTCAATACTTAGGCGCCTCCCTTCTCGTCCTCCTCGTCGTCGTCCTCCTCCTCCTCCTCCCACTCCTCCTCCTCCTCCTCCTCCTCCTCCTCCTCCTCCTCCTCCTCCTCCTCCTCCTCCCCACACTCAGACCCACTCACACTCAGATCCACTCACACTCAGACTCACTCACACTCAGACTTACTCGTACTCAGACACACACACACACACTCAGGCTTACTGACACTCAGTCTCACACACACACACACTCATAATCTCGTTCGAGTCAAGGGAACGAGGATGTTTCAGGCGAGGCGGTGGTTTCGGCACTCTCAAGAAGCAGCTGCCAGGGGGTACATCACGGGCCCGTTCGAGCCCAGTTTGTGGGGATGTCGCAGGCGGCTTGTTTGTTTTAATGGCCAGATTCGTTTGCGTTCAGAACAGGTTGTGAGGATGTGTCTCGGGCGAGGTGCTGGCTTCAGCACCCCAAGGGAGAGCCGCCAGAGGGGATATCACGGACTCGTTCGCGCTCATATTGTGGGGGTGTCGCAGGCTGTTTGCCTGTCTCGGTGGCCAGACTCGTCTGCGTTCAGAGCAGGTTGTGAGGATGTCTCGGGCGAGGCGCGGGTTTCGGCACTCACAAGGGGGAGACGACAGGGTGGACATCACGGGCCAATTCGCGCTCAGTTTGTGGGGATGTCTGGGGCGGTTTGCTTGTTTTGGTGGCCAGACTCGTCTGCGTTCAGAGCAGATTGTGAGGATGTCTCAGGCGAGGCACTGGTTTCGGCACTCGCAAGGGTCGGGGGCGGCAAAGAGGGGGGTGATGACTAGGGGGGGGGATATCATGGCGGGGGCCATGATATTTCCCCAGATTTCATGGCGCCTCTTCTTATTTCAATGCGTCCCCGGCCCCCCCGCTGGGCCGCGCACATGCCGCCGGCCATGATTTGCACCCCCCCCTCTTGGACACCCCCCGACAGGGGGCGAGCCTGGAAGCGGTGATGGTGACCACGTGACATTCATTCCGCAGGCCACGTGTGCAGAGGAGGAGGGAGGAGGAGGAGGAGGAGGAGGAGGAGGAGGAGGAGGAGGAGGAGCGGTAGCAGCAGGAGGGAGGAGGAGGAGGAGCAGGAGGAGGAGGAGGAGGCAGGCTTTGGATCGGCCCGCGCCAAGCTGGGGTGACATCCGAGGTGATCAACATCACGCAGGCCCTGGCCTCGTGCGTCCAGGCCGCCGTGCAGGTGGCGTTCGAGCGGGCGCCGGGCCGCTCGGCCTCGGGGGGGCTGCCGATGGCCGCTCGCTTCGAGCTGCTGGGCCTCCTGGAGGCCTGGAAGTCGGCACCGGCACCAACACTCGGCGGCTCTGAGCCTCGATCTCTCGTTCCTCCTCCTCCTCCTCCTCCTCCTCTCCTCCTCCTCCTTCCCCCCCTCCTCCCCTCCTCCCCCCTCCTCCCCCCTTCTCCTCCTCCTTCTCCTTCTCCTCCTCCTCCTCCTCCTCCTCCTCCTCCTCCTCCTCAAGGGATCGTTGGACATGCGCAACGCCTGAAGGAAGACCTACACGTTTGGGAAAAGGTATGGGAGTACAAAGGAGGCAGTGCCCCCTTCTGCGACCGTGACCTTGATCTTGGAGACGAGGAGGTTCCGCAGTCGCTCACCCCATCGAACATCAGAGCGGCGGCCAAAACCTTCAGCCCCAAAGACTGCCTCGGGCACGGACCGATTTCGGCCCTGATCTTCTGCGCTGCTCTCAGACGAGGCCTCGGAAGCCTTCAGCGGAGTCATGCACCAGGCTGAGAAGATCGGCAAGTTGCCGCAGCTCATGCGCCACACCATCTTGCCCCAGCTGCCCAAGCCTGATGGGGGGCACCGCCTCATTGGGCTTCTTCCTGATGCTCTGCGCGTCTACAACATGGCGCGCAAGCCGCAGCAAAACCTTTGGAACTCACAGCACAAGCGGAGCTACGAGTACGCGTGTGCGGGCAAGAGCACGGAGCAGGCAGTATGGCGACAGGCGGTCTTGGCGGAAGCGACGCGTGCCTTGGACAAGCACGTGGTTGCCGCTCTCATCGATCTGGCTAAGGCGTTCGAGACCATCAATCACGATCTCCTTTTGGACTCTGCGATACGACATGGCTGTCCACAGAGACGCATGGCCATGTGGGCCATGCTCATCCAGTCCTACGGCGGCCGCAGATTGATCAAGTTCGGTACCATCTGGGGCGACGTCATTTGCACTAATAGGGGCGTCATAGCCAGCTGCAGTTTCGCCGTCAGCGTTATCAAGTGTTTCACCATGCACGTCTACGACCGCATGTACGAGCTCTGGCCCTCCATCGACCTCACGGTCGTCATTGATGACTCCACGGTGCAAGCCAGTGGTGGCAGCGATCAGGTCGTCAACACTGTTATCCAGGTAACCAAGTTTGCATGCAAGCAGCTTGAGGACCTGAAGATGAAGGTCAGTGCCGATAAGGGCCAGGTGGTTGCAAGCACGGATGGGATAGCGAGGGCAGTTGCAGTGCAGCTGTCTTCGCACCGCTTCCAGTCTAAGAGGGCGGTCAAGCAGTTGGGCGTTGACAGGCGGATGGCTCGGGCTGGGAGGACCGTTCAAGTTAAGCGAGCATTAAAGATGAGGATGCGCATCACGCGCTTCAGAAGGCTTGCGTGTTGGGTACGATCCATTTGTAGGCTTTACCGTACAGGAGGACTCCATGCAGTCACCTACGGGATGAGGGTCCACGGCGTGCCTGATGCTCAGCTCGCCAGCCTACGGTCCACAGCAGCCTTCTCCATCTTCGTCGCACCGAGGGGACGATCCGGGACCGTTGAGTTCATGCTCTCGGAGGACCCGAAGGCGGATCCCAGCTATGACGCCACCGCCTTCCCCCTGGTCACTTGGCTTAAGGCCCTAAGGAAGCAATGGGCCACTCCCCACCAGATGAAGCTGGCCTTTCAATCTGCTACTAGTAAGTCGGGCAAGTGGGGGTCAGCCATTGGGCCAGATGGTGCAGTCCTGGCAACACTGAAGCGCATCGGTTGGCAAGCGATCAGCTGGGACAAGTGGCTCATCCCAAGGCACATTCTGGGGTATGGTGGCGGTGGCAGTGCTGCAGCTGCCAGCCAGGACCGGAACGACACGCACGATGGCCTGATCGTCAACTTGCACGACGTTGGGCTATATACCCTCCGCAAGCTCGTGGACCAGGCCACCACCACACAGCTCTTTAGACATGTGCGTCTTGAAGATTTCGAAGGGATCCCACTCCTCGACCCTGCCATCACGATGGTAAAGGAGCTGACGGAGAAGGAGGACTACCAGGGTGCAGGGCTCCTCCGCACGTGGCTCGCTGGGGATTTTTGGACGCAGGAGCAGCTGTACCAGTATGGGGCAGCTACTACGCCATTATGCGCCCTGTGCCGCTTTGAGGAGGGCACGCCATCACACCGCATGTACAGATGCTTGTTCCTCGCGGCTGAGCGTCAAGACTGGTATGGTGACGAGCGATGGCTGCTTGCCCAGGGACGTATCGAATACGGACCTCGCAACCCAATGATATACGTCATGTGTCGAGGGGTGTTCCCTGACCCCGCATTTGACCCCAGCTATGGACTTCCGCCACCCCATCATCATGATCGACTGGTGTGGGAACGTCAGCCCCCTGGAGGAGGATTTTGTGGGATCGTCTGCACAGATGGGTCGGGGAGGCATGCAGTGCATCCTCTTTTATCCCGAGCTGGCTGGGCCGTTGTCATGGTTAGTAACCAAGGCGATGTGTTGGGTACGCTGTATGGTCCTGTGCGCTTCCCTTGGACGTGTTCTGGAGCAGGGGAGTTGTGGGCGGCCATCTTTGTCCTCCGCTTTAAGGGCGCTGCGCACATCGCCCTCGTCACAGACTACCTTGAGCTCAAGAAGGCTTGGACAAGGGCAGCGACGCTGGCGCCAGCATAACGAATCGCCTCGGCGAGCTATGGAGGGAGTGTTGACGATTGGTTCACGACATTGGCCGCGAGTCCATTGACATCGAGTGGATTCCCAGCCATCGCAGTGACGCCCAACGCCTGCGCGTAGGGCTGTCTGCCGCAGTTTGGCTGGGCAACCGTCGAGCCGATGAGCTTGCCAAGAGAGGAGCAGGCATGCACCCTAATAATGTCCTCGCAGAGACGCT